AGCGATCCTCCCGCACCGGCCTCCGAGTGCTGGGATTAGGCGTGAGAGCCTCCAACCCCGGCCGAGTCCCTTTAACATGTGCCGCGTTCGGGCGGCAAGCTGGCTGTCCAGGGCAGAATCTGGCCCTTGGTCGTTTCCTGGGAACCTCATGGTGTTGAAGAGATGGAAACGTGGCCGGCATTGGAAACGTTCCCTCCCCCAGACACAGGACGCCCCTGAACCCCGGAGGCCTCAGCTCCAGGCGGCTTCACCACGTGGGCTGGTTCCTGGGGTCATCCGGGAGGTAAAGGAGGGCAGGCCCCAGTGGGGGTGCTCAGGAACAGTCCTGCCCAGCACGACGGCCTCCATCTGGGCCTTGCAGGGCAACGGAAGGGCCACACTGTCCCGTCGTGGGCAGGCGGGCACTGCGTCTCACTGCAGCGCATGGAAGGGGGTCGGTCAGAACACAGTGGGGCTCCCGCTTCCACTCACCCCTGGGTGTGCTGGGCAGGGGTGCGGGGTGCCGCTGGAGGTTGGGGAGACGCCGAAAGAAGAACACACTACGGGACACAGCGTTTTCTGTTAAAAGTCAGAAGTGTTTTGTCTTGTTTTAATATCTCATCAGCTTTACAGGGTTACAATCGTCTTAAATATTTCTGAAGTTTAAATACAATCTGCATAATAATGTTATTATAAAATGTAAACTTTCAGTGATCTTTTAAATTTCAACATCACACCCTTTTTTTTGGTCTTTTTCTTTTCTTTTTTTTTTTTTTTTTTTTTACATTTTTTCCTTTTAATACCTGAATGTTCTGCAAAAACTGAAATTGTTACAGCCCCCCCAACCCCGAGGCCAGGGCGAGGCAGGCTGGGCCCAGTCAGAGGTAGAGAGTAGTTTTATATGTTTTAAAAAATTTTTTTAAAGTTTACTTTTTTTTTTTTTTCCTCCTATTACCTGAGTTTCAGGCGTGGTCCCCACGCCATCTGACAAACCCCAGAGAAACTGAAATTTCACACGTCATGAATGAAAGGCTGAGTTTACATTTGCCAAGAAAAAAAAATGCAAAAGCAAAATGAGGGGAAAAAAGGTACAACATGGGTAAAAAAAATGGTAAAAGGAAGGAGATTGGACTGGACAGATTCCTGACCCTAGCGACCACCCCGGCCGCCCCCAGGGCCCCGTGCCCACCCCCCAGCCTGTCCTGATCGCCACTTACAGGTCCCACTTATGGTTCCAGAAGCCGCCTGCCCCCCAACATCTCAGAGTAGGGGGAGCCCCCTTCGCCCTGAGTGTGGGTCCCCGCCCGGACCGCAGTGAGGCCTCACAGTCCCCAGTGAACTGAAACCCGCCCAGGGTCCTCCAGGCTGAGGGAGCTGCCCGACTCCATCCCAGTCTGCATAGGGAGGGGGTGCCGAGCTGCACCCCCCAAAAGCCACCCTGACTTTAAACCCCCACCAACAGGCGGTGGCGGGCGATGGGCAACGGCCGGGGTTGAACGGGGCCACCTGAGGCAGGGAGGACCCTCCGGAGACCCCGGCTTCCTGCCCACTATCCCAGGAACAGGCCCCCTAGACCCTTGCGACCCCCTCACACTTCCACGCCCAGCACGGCCACTGCCTTTGGCCACTTCCTTCCTACGGAGCCAGCCAGGCAACTGGGACCCAGCCCGAGACCATGCCCCGCCTGTCCCTACAATCCTCGGAGTTAACAGCAGACCCAAGTCCCCTGAGTTAGAATCCAGACCCCCCCTCTGCCGGGAGGCCAGATCACCCATACAGACACGACACAGGATTCCCGACACACACACACACGCAGACCGAGGCCCAGCCCCTCCCCAGGAATGAGGGGGGCAGGTGCAAGGGGACCGCGGGGCCCTCCAGGGCCACCAGACGCAGCGGCAGCCAGGCCCCAGTGGCTATGGCAGAACCCGGTGCACAGGAGGTGGGGGAGAGGCACCCCAGGGGCTCAGATTTTGGCATCAGTCAGACCTGAGGTAGACAGATAGGCAGCAGGTGTGTCCCCCATTGAGGGGCCCAGAGGTGGTTTGGGGGCCCCAGGGGAGGAGCCCTGGGGGTGGGGTGGGGAGGGGGACGGAGTCCAGACAGTTCCCCTAGCTCGGGGCCCAGAGATGGGGGTCCTGGGAGGGGGAGAGACGCGGACAGAGTCCAGACAGTTCCCCAGGGCGGGGCCCAGGCATGGGACAGGGGTCCAGGGTTGTGGGGGGAACAGATGTGGACAGAGTCCAGGCGGTTCTGTCAGTGGGTTTTGGGGTGAAGACACCCCCTTCCCAGGGTGATTGTGCTGCTACGGTGGCAGCCCCGGGAACGGGGCAGGGAGAACCTAGATGCCCACCACCCCCTATTGGAAAGGGGGGCATGTCAACGGCCCTGAGATCTAAGAAGAAAGTGGGGTCCCTTCCCAAAGACACAAGAAAGTCAAAGTCCCTTCCCACAACCCGCCGGGAAAGTGAACCTAGAGTCTGGGGCTCAGAAGCCACCCCAGCCCCCTGCAGGGGTCGTCAAGGCAATGGAGGGGGTGGTCGGGAGTCAGGGGAGCTGGGGCGTCTCCTTTCTCACTGACCCCCCCATGCCGGTGGCCTAACAGGGCTCCCAGGGCCCAATTAGAGACCCAGGCTTACCCTGGGAATAGCTGAGTCAATCCCCACCCCAAGAGAAATGAAAGCCCAGGGCTCCCGGGTAGGATGCAACAGCCCGCCCGACGCCACGCACGTCCAAGAAAGGAACCCAGACCCTGCCTGCCGTTTCACGCTCCTGCCTTTCTGCTCCAGCAGCTCCAGACAAAGTAACCCCCAGCTCAGCCGCTGTGACCCCGCTTTCTCCTCGTCTGGGGGAGGGGCCCTGGCTCACAGGGTTGGGGGGCAGCCTCCCTTCTCGGCCTGGATTCAGTCACCCAATTCAGGGAGCACACAGCCCCAGCACAGAAGGGGTTGGGAGAAGAGGAAGGGACAGAGCGAGGGGAATGTTGGGGTGTGGGGGGTGTTCAGGATGCCGGGGCCCCAAAATCCTCACCCTGAGCGAGGTCCGGCTTCACCCCAACTCCCCAGTATTGATAGTCCCCAAGAGCAGCCCTTTCGGGCCAGAGAAGAATCCCAGTGAGACGCCACATTCATCCCTGAGACAGGGGCCTGGGGACCGTGACAAGAATCACCCCTGTCCCCCCGCCACCCAGGCCATTTTTCCAGCACTTGTTACTTTTCAGGTAATATTTCCAGGCCTGGCCTGGCCCGGGCAGTGGCTCACGCCTGTAATCCCAGCACTGTGGGAGGCCAAGGCGGCGGATCACCTGAGGTCGGGAGTTCGAGACCAGCCTGGCCAACATGGCGAAACCTCATCTCTACTAAAAATACAAAAATTAGCTGGGCGTGGTGGTGGGTGCCTGTCATCCCAGCTACTCGGGAGGCGGAGGCGGCAGAATCGCTTGAACCCGCGAGCCGGAGGTTGCGGTCAGCCGAGATCGCGCCATGGCACGCCAGCCTGGGCAACAAGAGCGAAACTCCGTCTCAAAAAATCATCGGACATTTCCAGGCCCCTGACTCAAGAACCCGGCAGACAAGCACAGCACAAGAAAAAGCATCGTGGAACGTCACAGTTAGCAAGTCACTGTCGTGGGGCCACGCCTGGCCCCCTGGGGCCCCGGCATGCGCCCCCCGCCCCCCGCCCCAGCCCAGCCCGCAGCACCTGAGTTCATTGGCTCCGAGGCTCTCGCCCCAGGGATCCGACGTGCTGGGCTCACAGCTGCTCAACGCACCCCCGGAAACGGACAAAGGGACCCAGATTGGTCGTGGGAAAAATAAAAAGGTTATTATTATTTTTTTTTTTGGTTTTTTTCTTCCTTGCGTTTTCAAGGTCCGTTTCCCTGAAGGAACACAAATATATAGCTATATAGATATATAGATATCCTTTCCTAAGGTCTGATCCCCCCAAGAATAAAATAGAATATTTACACAATAAAATCCCCTAAACCTCTTAAAAACTCTACAGACAGGAAAAAAAAAAAAAAGAAAATCCCCAAAGCAACAAGAAAAAAAAAAAAAATTCAGTGATCTTGGCTCAGGGGTTTCGCTGGACACAGGACCTGGGAGTGGTGAGCGCATGGTGAACAGAAAATAGAGAACGAAAGCAGACGGAAACGAAAACACACAGTGCAGGGATGTATGAGGTAAACACGACCGGCCACGTTGCGGTCGGGCCAACAGACACCAGAGCCTTCGGTTCACGGGGCGGCAGGAACGCCCGGGAAAGGTCTGCCTCTTGGCTGTCTCATCCATTTCCTTTGTTGCTCTCACAATTCATCTCTGAATGTCCAAAACCTGAGAAATTCGAGTGTTCCTTGGTTTTCCCGTTTTATTAAATTTTCTTTATATATATACGTATTATATATATTTTTTCTTTTCTTTTTGGCGTCAGCTGTGGCTCTTCTGTGGATATCTTCCCTCCCCACACGGATCTTCGGGCCGTGCTGGCCCCTGTGTGGCTCACCTGGACCCCCTGCCCAGGCCGGTGGGCCCCGGGGTGGGTGGCGGGGGGGGGAGTGATGCGGTTAAGGCAACGAGTTATTTGAGGTAGATGTGGAGGGCGCAGACAGCCCCGCGGGCCCGGCCTGGCCACCGCTGGTCCCGCTGCTTCCTCCCCGGCCGCCCGTGCTGCTGCCGCCGCCGCCACCTCCACCTTTGTTGGGAGCAGAGGGTGGCGTGGGGGCTGGCGGCTGAGCAAACAGAACTCCTAAGGCAAGAACAGAAGACAGATGCCATGCAGAGTTTAAGCAGATGCAAGGCGGGCCACAGGGAGACCCAACGGGGTGCACCCAGGGTACAAACTCCTCATCAACTTCTCTCTCACTCTGTCCCAAGGCTGGAGTGCAGTGGCACGATCATAGCTCACTGTGGCCTCACACGTCTGGCTACTTTTTAATTTTTTTTTGTTTTTCATTTTGAGACGGAGTTTCGCTCTTGTTGCCTGGGTGGAGCGCAACGGCGAAATCTCGGCTCACCGAAACCTCCGCCTCCCGGGTTCAAGCGATTCTCCTGCCTCAGCCTCCCGACTAGCTGGAATTACAGGCATGCGCCACCACGCCCGGATAATTTTGCTTTTTTATTTTTATTTCATTATGATTTTTTTTTTTGAGACAGAGCCTCGCTCTATCGCCCAGGCCGGAGTGCAGTGGCACGATCCTGGCTCACTGCAACCTCCGCCTCCCAGATTCAAGTGATTCTTCTGCCTCAGCCTCCCGTGTAGCTGGGGCTACAGGCATGTGCCATCATGTCTGGCTAATTTTTGTCTTTTTTTAGTATACACGGGGTTTCACCATGTTCACTAGGCTGGTCTCAAACTCCTGATCTCACGATCCACCCATGTTGGCCTCCCAAAGTGCTGGATTATAGGAGTGAGCCACAGCACCTGGCCCCAGTGTTGCATTTTTAGTAGAGATGGGGTTTCACCCTGTTGGCCAACCTGGTCTCGCAAACTCCTGGGTTCAGGCAATTCTCCTGCCTCAGCCTCCTGAGTCGCTGGGATTACAGGCATGCGCCACCATGCCCAGCTAATTTTTTGTAGTTTTAGTAGAGACGGGGTTTCACCGTGTTGACCAGGATGGTCTTGATCTCTTGACCTTGTGATCTGCCCGCCTCGGCCTCCCAAAGTGCTGGGATTACAGGCTTGAGCCACCGCGCCCGGCTGGATTAAAATTTTTGATATCTCATTTACCCTGACATGATTATTAGGCATTGCATCCAGTATCAAAACATCTCATATAACCCATGAATAATATACCTACTACATACCCACAAAAATTAACAATGAAAAAATTTCAAAACTAAAAAATAAATTCGTTACAATTTTTTTTCTTTTCTTTCTTCTTCTTCTTCTTTTTTTTTTTTTAAAGACAAGGTTTCACCATGTTGGTCAGGCTGGTCTTGAACTCCCGACCTCAGGTGATCCACCCGCCTTGGCCTCCAAAGTGCTTGGATTACAGGCGTGAGCCACTGCGCCCGGCCTACAATTGTTTTTGAAGACACAGGGTCCTGCTCTTGGCCCAGGCTGGAGCGCAATGGCGTCCTCACAGCTCACTGCAGCCTCAAAGCCTTGAACTACTGGGCTCACACAATCTTCGCTCCTCATCGTCAGAAAGCATTGGGATTGGCTGGGTGTGTGGCTGGCGCCTGTAATCCCAGCACTTCGGGGGGCCCAGGCAGAAAGACTGGTGTGAGCCCCAGTTCAAGACGGGTCCAAGCAACAAAGCAAGACCGCATCTCTACAAAAAATGTAACAATTAACCAGGTGCGGTGGTGCGTGCCTGTGCAAGACTCGGTCTCATAAAAAAAAAAAAAAAGGAATGTGAAGCATCCCACGTCACACCGAGTATGTATTTACAGATGACCCCCTCTGGGCTGCGCGCACGCCAGGGGAGCTGTGGCCTTTTCAAGACTGTCCTTGACTGTGTGTCCTGCAAAACCTCTGGCCATGCCCTGCTTGCCCGCATGCCTGGGTCCCGGCAGGTGCAACCAGGTGCAACCCAGGGTCCTGAGTTCACGCCGGGAGAGGGGAGGTCGAGGCAGGGTGTGGCCTCAGGGGTCCTACCTGTGTACAAGATGCCGTTGATCTCCACCGACATGCTAATGCTGTTGCTGCCGCTGGTGCCCGTCAAACTCACGGCGGAGTCCTGGCGGCTCTCGGAGGCTTTGGGGGAAGAATACATACCGTGGTTTTTTGTGTGTCTGCTCCTGAGGTGGAGGCTCGCTCTGTCGGCAGGCTGGAGTGCAGTGGTGCCATCTCGGCTCACTGCAAACTCCAGCTCCCGGATGCAAGCAATTCTCCTGCCTCCGCTTCCCGAGCAGCTGGGACTACCGGCGCGCCACCACGTGCATCTAACTTTTGTATTTTTGGTAGAGATGGGCTATCGCCATATTGGGCAGGCTGGTCTTGAACTCCTAGCCTCAAATGATCCGCCCACCTCAGCCTCCCAAAGTGCTGGATTCCAGGCGTGAGCCCCCGCGCTCGGCCAGAACTGCCATTTCTGATCATAAATACACCTGCTGTATGTTCTGTTTTCTGTCTGTCTCACCAACAACTGGATTTCAGCTCCACAAGGTGTAGACAGTGTCTGTCACATTCATGCCGTCACCAGGGCACACAGTAGGTGCTCAGTATTTACCTGCTGAGGAAGTGTATTTGTCCATACCTTGCTTGGTTTTTTCGCCCTTTTTTTTTTTTTTTTTTTTTTTGAGACGGAGTTTCGCTCTTGTTACCCAGGCTGGAGTGCAATGGCGCGATCTCGGCTCACCGCAACCTCCGCCTCCTGGGTTCAGGCAATTCTCCTGCCTCAGCCTCCTGAGTAGCTGGGATTACAGGCACACACCACCATGCCCAGCTAATTTTTTGTATTTTTAGTAGAGATGGGGTTTCACCTTGTTGACCAGGATGGTCTCGATCTCTTGACCTCGTGATCCACCCGCCTCGGCCTCCCAAAGTGCTGGGATTACAGGCGTGAGCCACCGCGCCCTTTTTTTTTTTGAGACCAGGTCTTGCTCTGCCACCCATTCCAACCCAGGTTGGAATGCAGTGGTGCAATCACGGCTCACTGCAGCCTCGACCCCCTGGGCTCAAGTGATCCTCCCACCAGCCCCCCCACCCAGTAGCTGGGGCTGCAGGAGCGTGCCACCACGCCCAGCTAATTTTTGTAGAGATGGCATCTCTCCGTGTTGCTCAGGCTGATCTCAAATTCCTGGGCTCAAGCAATCCTCCCATTTCAGCCTCCCAAAGTGCTGGGACCATACGTGTGAACCACTGTGCCCCGGCCAGTTTGCTTTTTA